TAAATATATCGGCAATTAGCGTTAGGAATAATGACGAATTTGTATTAGAATTATCAAACCTAGAGACTAAGGAAGTTTTATATTCAGGTTATTTAGGTAAATTAAATAAAAATGGTAGAATGTTAGGACTATCAGAAGCTCATGAACTAGCATGCGATATTAATCATAATATTACACATTGTCACGATCCAGTTGCAGACGTAATTTTAACGAAATGCCTATTCAATTACATAGTAACGAAGATAAAGCCCATTAAATTATATAAATTAGCAAAAAAATATAAAAGGAATTTTAAGGCAAAATAAATAATAATTATTAGTTAATAAATAAATATAACACAAAATAAATTAATGAAAACAAATACATAAATTAACATTTATTATATATTTTAGATTCATTGAAGAGCTAAAAACAATTTTAAAAACAGAAGTACATATTTATAACGTTAAGGAAAATAAATTACAATCCGTATGCTTTAATTGGCATATATTAAAGGCAAACAAGAAAATAAATAACCACTACGATCATAGAACTTTAAATAAAATAACTAGAAGCCTTGAACTTTTCATAGACGATCATTGTAATGGAGAATGTAAACAATTAGTAAAAATAATAGAAAACACTAGAGATCCAACTTACATGATGAATTACCTTGAATAGAACCATAGTTGCATATGTCTGTGACAAATTTAACAATTATTCACATAGATTAGTATATAGGTGGAAGATAAATATTATTATTATATAAAAAGGGGAAATACTTAAATTGTATACTTACGTAACGCTTATAATGTTATAATTTCAGGTACCTATATTATTTTATTAAAGATTATTAATCATTCTTATTAACACTATTTGTTTAATTAAATCATGTATTAATTTAATTTACTAACCAAAATTAAAATTGTAATATGAAAAACAATATAATAATAATGATGACATTAAAAATTGTAAAATGCTCACATTATTGTAATCAAATGTAATACTATAATCAAATTGTTAACTGTATACAAAATTTAAATGTCAATGTAAACAATGTAATTCAGCCATTGTAAACTATTAATTAACGATGTTAAAGATTCTTAACCCTTAAAGGTTAACAATCTTTTTTTTGGTAGGGAGGTGTAATGGGATTACGCAATATTATATATTTGCTCATAATAACAACCAGGAATGCGACCACACCCAAAAGTGTTTTCGACTACGAATACCACTTTCATAATCGTGAGGTCCATATCAAGGACGACTGTACACGCGCCGCTCACTTTCAAAGGACGCCGCCACCATATATATAGGGGACAGCGAGACAGCCTGAGTTAGATGTATCCAGAGACGAGAACACCACACGACTCGCTTAGCCGCCCAGCCATCACACACGACTTACACGGAGATTATCAACTTCGGAACGAGCTACAATTCACTACAATCAACACTATTATTCTGCTTGTTTTGTCTGGTTTAATATATTACATTTGATTATCATACTAATTTGACTATTATTATTTATCAAGTACACCAGCTTTTGGATCCCTGAAGGGCCGCATGTAACACTAGGGAAAGAAAATTTAATGATATTTCTATTAGTGTTAAGAGGGATGCAATGTAGCATATTTTAAGAAGTACTATTTAGGCAATTCATGTGACATATAAATTAATACTGTATCTATGTGCGAGTAGTAAATGAACATAAGTGTGCGTAATCTGCTAATTGTTTCCGAGAATCGCTGTCACGTCGAGTCGGGCAACCGCGCCGGAAGCAACTCTCATACGCGCACGCAAATGTCAATAAATCTCGAAAAATGAAATAGGTACCTACATTCTTGTTTGCATGACTATAAAAACTACTAAAAGCGGTAGTAAATTAATCATACTTCCCGAAGTTCGATTGTAAATTTGAAAAATTTGTTGAATTTATAAAACTTCTAGACTATGCTTCTTAGGAATCACTTTTTTTATTTAAAATCAGATGTGCCTAAAATAAATACAAATGTAATGCAATTATTTCATGGGATTTCTAAAAAAAAAATTGTTATTTTAAGGTCATTTTAAATTGAAAATTGAAAATCAACTTCCTAAGAAGCCCAGATATTTTATCAATGAATTCAAACATGTATAAACAATTTAAATCGGGCATTCCGAATTATGTGTAATTTACCACCTCTTATTGGTCTAAAACGTATGAAAAATTCGTTCGTTGCAACCCCCTTAACAACGGTGTTACTCAGTGATGTCCTACAAAAATGCATGGTTACACGCCTTAATCATGGTAAAAAATTACTTCAGGGGGCACAGTCCCCCCCCCAAACCCCCCAGTCGTCCACCATTATTCGGTACTCGTAAAATATTTCATCTATTTGTCCATACTATATACAATAGAACCTCATAAATTATGATTGATATATTATTTTAAACTCATAATCCATTAAAAAAAATTCAAAACTATAATTTTTCTCAAAATATAATTAACAAATTAATGAAACATATCATTATTATTTTTTAATATTATAAAACATTTTTATATTATTCAAGTAATTCCCATAGTTTGTATTTTAGGTCTTGGTTTGGGTCTGTAGTGGTGTATTAACTTTTCTTGCCTTGTTGTCATTAGCATCTCTATGTGAGGTTAACCAACTTTCGACATAGTCTTTTCTGAATACGGGTAAACAAGGATCTAACATAGTCACATCATGTTGTTTAACGGGCTCGTTTCTTAGGTTCAGACTTTAGATCATAGGTAGGTAAACGTAAACCTAATCAGCTGATCAAGTTTCACTTCTATATTGTTCTATCAAAATATTATTACTATTACTATTTATAGTAAACAAATTACGCTCATCTTTTTTTTGTTATTGAATTATTGTTTGTAACTTAAATAATTTAATATACCTATTATATTACCCAATAACATTTCCTAAATAAATTAATGACCAAGTATAATTGGGTAACGTTAATACGTATGGCTCATGGTCCGTGCACCCGCGAACCACGTTTTCTTTGAGGGTACACGCATTAATCTACAATATTGGAAGGTGAGTACACGCCATGTACCCGCGGTTACCCTCCACTACAACACTGGACTGTTACTGTATAAGTTGTGTTGGCTTACAGATATTTGAACAATACTGCATCCATGAGTTTAATGTCATTAGTGTTGACACAATCGATAATAACGATAATACCTCTATGATATGATAATTATATAAATAATTAATAATATAATAAATACATTTTTTCAACAGAAATGCAAACCTAAAATAATAGTTAAACCTATTATATTACAAATGTATTGTAAAATATATTAATTAGTAATAATAATTACTATAGTAAAAGTATAAATATATATAAGTACCTACCTATATATATATATCGATGGCTAAGAGGCCAAAAGTTGTATGTCCAATTTTTCTCAAAATTGTTTTATTAGTTCATAGGGTTTATCTGGGTCGTCTTTTTGGTTCGGTAAAACATTATAAGTCAATATCATGATTAAAACATGTTTTATTTATACTTTAATTTTTGTGTTTTTAGTGCAAGATATGTTTTTTTAGTGCACACATATAACAAGTCCTAATTTAATGGGACATACGATAAATATTTTAACATGATCTAAATACTAAGCGGACAAATATAACAAGTCCGGACTTGTAACTTTTGTCAAAAACAATTTATTGAATTTTGGACGTGTAATGTTTTGATAATATTGAATTTGTTTATCTATTTATAAAAAAATAATATGTCCGGACGTATTATTTTAAATAATACAAATTTTTAATTTTAAATTACACTAAATAATATGATATCTTCACTTAGCATAAAATATCATTAAACACTGGTTTTATTTGACTAAAAATTTGATGAAAAATGATACTTTATTATTTTTCACATTCAATGAAAAATTCCAATATATTTTATATTTTTTACTTTTTTACTGCAATTTTATAAACAAATTGAATTTTTATATTAAAAAAATAAGTCTTACGTACATTTTAACTATTTATGTAATAAATTAATTAGAGTTTATATTAAATTAACAACTTTTAATATGTCCATCAAAACCTTATATGTCCACGGTAAAAATATATTATAATTGCCATTCATAACAAGTCCCATTTAAATTTAAAAGAAACATTATAATTACGTTTGAAAAAATTTGAAAACCTAAAAGTAATAATTTATGTGATCTACAGAATATTTTACAAATAAATCAGTTGCAACACCGAAAAACAAAAATCTACAACGCAAATTATTTGGTGTAGAATAATTTAAAATCTTAAAACTGCTCTCCCGAAAAATTTAGTGTTTGGGACATACAACTTTTGGCCTCTTAGCCATCGATATATATTATACAATAATACAATATGCTAGTAATATAGTCTATAATAACCATTTCGACATTTCCCCTTAGAATTATTTTTTGAATGGAATGATTTATCATTGAATTAAAAATTAACACATCCAATGAGAACGCGCCATTACAGTGATTATTATGTAGGTACATGTTAATGATGAGGTATATAACTACTTATAACAGAGCAGTAATAGTTATCTACTTGACCACTTTTTAAAATAAATATATATAAGTACCTAATGACTAATGTAGTAATATCTAATGATTAATGAGTAGGTACCTATTAAGTATCGAGTAGTTTGTGAATTATGATGTGATTGAGAAATGAGAAATGATAATAAATTATACTATTTTTTTTTTAGATACAATATGTCATCCATCAGCGGTACCTATATGAGCATGATGTGGTTAAATTAAATTTAAAAAAAATTAAAAGTTATTATTTCCCTCAAAATGTGTATCTCAACTTAACTTAGTTAGGTATGTACTCAAATTAATTTATATTTTAAAATTTATTTTATCTTAGCTTAGTTTATTTTTATTGGTGGGAGGGACTTAAACTAATTACCAAAATGAGTTAACTTGCCTAGGTTTTCAAATTGGAGTGCTTTCAAAATAATATGTAATTTATTTTGTTGGTTAAATAATATACCTGTTTGTAAGTATCTTCGTCATTGTATTGGCCTGATTTTAAATCACGTTTAATTATTTGTTTCGCTTCAATAGTAGATTCAAAACACCAAAAAAGTAAGAACGCCACCTATTATAATTTTATATACACTTGTTATATATAGGTACCTTAAATAATCATAATGGAAAAATTAATAATAAATTGTATTTACCAGCAGGTGAAGATATTTCAATGACAAATTCATATTGTATTAAGGATATAATGCAACCTGTTATTTCAATGCAATACGAATATAAAATGAAATTCTTGCAATCTTTTACAACTATTTATACTAAATTGTAAATGACTAAATAAATTATTAAAACGTGCGTGGAGATTTCTTTGGAAAGCCTATCCATAAATCAATTAGTCAGTACATTTATAATCAGATACATACTTGAAATCTATTAATTACCTATATATAGCTTTGTACAAACATTACCCAATACTCATACACTTGAATATTAATACAAACTGGGGAAGGCGGTATTTTCGGTGTACCAAAATACCGGTTAATCGAGATATTGGTATACACATACCCAGTGGCGTCATTTCAGTTTTTATTAGACTAGGGCCACTTTTTACCGCTTTTCCGACTCAGATTCTCATAGCATAGTGCCATAGTGGTTAAGTGGGGGAGGTGTGGTAAATGTGCCGACTTAAGGTTGATGTAAATACTAGACAGGGGCAAATGCCCCAATTCCTCCCCCCCCCAAATGACACCACTGCCCATACCAAAAATTATCAAATAGGAATACCGCCACAGTATGGCTGTATATCAAAAAAATCTAATAACCGAAAATATAAATAAAACTAAAATATCCAAAAATAACGGTAGGTATACTGAAAAAATCGAATAATCGAAATTAATATATACAGAAAACGAAATAATCGATACTATTAAAAGCAATAAGAATAAATTTTTTTTTTTATTCGTATGGCAACAATAACACAGTAACATATAAAATACAATAAATAAAATAAAATAAAAAGTATACATGATATTAATAACAGTACATTATAATATAGTATTTAGTCAAATCTAGATTTCTATGTCCAAGACCCTTATTCATTCAAATGCTTCCTTCGTAACTTCATTAATCCCATTAATGCCCGACTTAAGCCTTCTATTCAGGAATTCGTCTGTAATATGTCTCATAATCTGGCAGTCATTTCCACAATCATATTCTGGACTGTCCTTTAAGTTCCACTTGAACATCATATGTCCACACCTTCCGTGTCCAGTTCTTAATCGGTTAAGAATTACCCATTCTCGCCGTGGAAGTTCGAACCCTATAACTCTTTGTGTGGGGTCCTTTATTAAATTTTTATGTAATGCCGTATTGCCCAGCCACTCCTCCTGCTATTTTTTAGCACTGCAGAGCTGCGACTGGATTAGCTCTCTGGATTGACCCATGGTGGTTTCCTTGACTTTAGTCTTATATCAGGTACATTTTATAAGTATTTGTAGAGGATTGAGTTTTGTAAGAATCGATCTTAATAAATAGTCTTACTTGTGCTTCATTCCTTCTGATTTCTGGTGGTGCGATATTTGAAAGAACTGGCAGCCATGGTATCGTTGATTGTAGTGATTGTACTACTCCGCTTATTAACCGACCTGAGTGTGCGCTATTCGACCAGACTGGAGCTCCATACTCCGCTGTAGAATACACTAACGCGATTGTTGCCGTTCTCAGAGTAGTAGCATCTGCCCCCCCATCCAGTCCCAGCTAGTTTCTGCACTAGGTTAACTCTCGTTTTAAGTTTTTAGTTGCCATACGAATAAAAAAAAATAAGAATAATAGGTTATCTATTCAAAAAACATTTTATTTTTAGATTTTGGATCTTTGTTTGGGAGTTATGATTGTATTGTCAATTTGGAATTGGGGTAGCATAGAATATTATTTATCAATTATCATGTTGTGAATTTAATCATAAGCTCGATTATGATTTATATGTAACACCACAAAATTACTTAAGACGATCATCGTGAATTATCGATGTATAGTATCGATTAGTATAGGATGTGATTAACCATCTTTAAATGGTTCTCTCCAGTCTCCACCGTAAGTACATTGTACATGACATTATAATATTTGTGTTCTCAGCTTGACAGTATAAACTATAAAATTATTGAATGCCTATAGTTACTTTTCTTATCGCCGTAAAATGGGTAAGTGAGTTAAGTTGTTTGGTTGTATTTAAAAAAAAATAAATTCACTCTGGCTTGTGTAAAACATGTGAATAAATTTGGAATGATAAAGGTGGAAACACGATAAATGTATTAAAACCTTGAAGTCTTGTCATCTCAAGTTATACATTGAGTGTCAAAACGCTATGGCAAATAAAAGCACTATGAGGTAAGAATATTAACTATAAACAATGCTTAATAAATTAAATTAAGTCATGTTAATAATTATAATTACTTAATATCTACCGACTATTTGTTACTAAAGTGCCGGTATTCCAAATAAAAATTGAGAGGTGACATTTCAAAACGTACTATTTCTAAAATCGACAAAATTTAATTATACATGGATTCATATATACCTATGTAAAAATGGACGAGGAATCGAATGGCGTGGTCAACTTGAACCAAAACGTACTATTTCATTGTTAAAAATTAATCTGAAACTCATAAATGACGCAAAACGCACTATTTTCAAAGGCAAAATTTGTCTAAATGCACTATTTCCAAAATTATGTCAAAACATAGTATTTCCCATGTTAAATAGTTTGTTAATTTGACAAATTGACGCAAAAAGTACCAATTCCTCATATTGTACAAAACTTACTATTTCCAAAGTAGGCCATATTGTAGGTACTATTTCCCAAAGTATGAAGATAGGAAATATAATTGAGTTAAATACATAACGTACTATTTTATTTCCACTTATAATTAAAAATAGAAAATAGTGATTTCTTAAAAAAGTGTAAAATGGAAATAGTACGTTTTGAAATGTCGCCCCTCAATTATTTTGAAGTGGAGAACTTGGATAGCACTCCAATGGATGGTATAGATTATAATATATCATAGATGGTAACAAAAGATACTGAAAGATCGAAGTTTCAAAGTTTCTTATCAGTTATCTAGCAAATAAACAAAATATTTAAATAACGAACTAACCAAAAATAAAAAGATAAAAATTTTCTTAAATTACTAACCAACATCGTCTGACCATTTTGTTTGTTTTTTTTTTTTATCAATATGGTGTTAATATAAAATTCATAGCCATAGGTTTAAAAACTAGATAAAACAACTGAAAAATCTTATAAAAAAGCAATTACATACTGGATTGCAACTATTACGCTACATAATTGTGTACAGTTATACAAACAAAAAGGTTTCAAGCGTTAATGTCCAAAATTCGTCATTTATTTAAGATTCCTTCAGGAAAATATTTTTCTGATTATAAAATACCAGAAATGAATTTAGAAGATAAATCACGAATTCAATTAATTCAAGTCAAAAATGTATTGCTCTCACATTTGACTGTTGGATATCAGTTACTTAGGCATCCAGCATCCATATATTATTATGTATTGCAATTACAACACATAAAGTATACTGTATAGGTATAGATGCAAATTGGGATTTATCTTCCAGTTGTTTTATAGCTTGTACAAGCATGCATACTGCTTTGATCATACTGTCTTGTTGCTTGAACTTAAAAGAAATAATTAATATCACATTAAACGTTTGGAGAATATCGTTTGATAATATTTCGGGAGCTGTGACCGATAATGGAACAAACGTGGTTTTACCATTGTGAATTAAATCCTATAGAGTTTACTCTGTCAATTGTTAAAAAACACGCCAGTATGAAAAACACAACTTTCAAATTAGAAGACGTATAAAAACTTCTTCAAGATGGAATTAAGAAGTATAATCCCGATATATGGAAAAACTTTAATGAACACATAAAAAGAAGATAACCCATTTTCGAAAACAGATTTCATTGTTAATAATTACATTCTTTTTAAATAGAACAACAATATATTTAATTAGGTACTATTATAAGTTTTAAATGTTATAATATTTTATAGCCTGTTGAAAAATAACAAATACGAATATATTTATAGAAACCTGATTCATCACTTATGCCTATATACTCTAATACTCTTATTATATAGGTATACGATATATTTACAAATTAATATTATCTTAAATTATAATATATTTTTTTTATTGCTTGCTTACTGACTCAAGTTTTGTCTGTTTATTAAACATACCAGAAATGATTTTCTATTCTTGAGCAGCTTGACGTAATTTTATATTATTAGACCACCCATTTATTTTTTTTTTCAGGTCATATTTTTCCCAAATTAAAAAATTAATGTAAGCACTAAACACGCGTCACGAAAAAATAAATTTTAATTTAGGCATAAATAAGGTACTCAACTAAATTAACACAATACTCAGAATAGTTGAATCATACACTACTGTTCAACTTAACTGAAGTCCGCGATCAATGATAATTAATTAGTGCCAATCGGTTGTTGCAGTTTTTAGAATTTGTATTAATTTTAGATTTTAGAAATTAAACTATGCGAGATTATGATAATAATTATTATTGAGGCCTATTTTATATTTTTCAATACACACCTCAAAAACCTTTTTTGCAATTTTAAAGTCAGCAGACAAAAATTCGGACTTAAACAAAAAAAAAATTTTAATTTTAAAACAATTTCTCAAGGCTATAACTAACTCAAGAAAGTAAAAATTTTCCAAAATGTAATTTATTGAAAATATTAATATAAATATTTGGTGAAAACTTCAATGGTCTACGCCCCTACGGTTATTAGTTTTCGAGTTATACCAAAAAATAAAATTTTTGGTTTTAGGTAAAAATGACAATTTTTTTTTTTATTGCCGCTTTTTAATATCTTAAACTAAAAATTTCGGTTTTGATCTCCAAAAAGTACCAACTAGATTCGCTTTTCTAACAGAAAAAATGCTGATCTCGAAATTCAGAATATTTTTATTACCCAATGTTGATGACCGACAGAAAGAAATGAAAAAAATTATACACATCTTGTAAAATCAATACATTTGTTCGTTCCTCTCAAAATCTAAAAACAGTGATCACGACTCCATGCTATATAAAAAAAATGAAATGACATTGGTTTCGTTTCCAAATCAATAATAAATAATTTATATATTTTAATAATTTTATATTAGTTTAATATTAGTCTTTAGATTTTTTTGAGGCCCTTCGATATCTTATGAGGCGCGAGGCCTGTGTGCACACTTTGCACACCCGGTTTTTACGGCACTGCGACACCCCCCCCCCCTTGAAGTTTCCTATACTTACCCACTACATACTGTACAGTTTACACAACATTTTATACCAATTATTAGTTATTAATTTTGGTAAATAACAATAACGAGTTGATTATTCGATTTGAAATAAATTTCAATTTTTAATTTACACTCAAAAAATATTCTTAGAGAATAACCTCTTTAATAATAATTATTAGTAATTACCACCCTACTATCACCACCTATGTCCAAACACAATAATAAATTTCGTACAAAAATAATAGTAGGTATCATAAATATTTATTTTTACTATAATAAATAAAAATAATTACGTACTCATACTTTCATTACTTTATACTTACCTATAATAGGTATAAAATCAAGTTTTCTTTGTTTTATTGCCAGTTTATCAATTACTTCATTGATACATTATGCAATAAACACGACATTTGTCAAAATGACAAGTTCCAAAAACTGATTATGGTTAAGATAGTAGATAGATTTTAATATCAATATTTTGGTTTTGCACACAGGCCTTAAGTAGCCTAGTTACGGCACTGGGGGTGTGGGAGGCAAAGCCCCCCTTTATTACATATTATGTCATTCAGTGCCTCATCCCCTCCCTTTAGCAATTCCTAAATACGACGCCGGAACGAACAAATGTTGAACTACCTACTGCAACATATAAAAACAAAAATCGCATTCTTTTTATGAGTCAATTTAAATACTGCAATTTTCTCAGGAACTATCGCCAACGACCATACCACGTTGAATACACCAGTTCTCGTCCGATCACTGAAGTTAAGCATCGTCGGGCGTAGTTAGTACTTGGATGGGTGACCGCTTGGGAACACTACGTGCCATTGGCATTTTTTTCCATTTTAAAACATTAATTATTTTAGACTGAGCGGGGTAGTAGTGCAATGGTTTTTATTTTATTTTTTTGTCATCACTTCTTCAACAGTATATTTTCCAATAGGATAGTGAAACAAATTGGTACTTTGGGATTCAGAAGTAAAAATTTCTCAGTTTTCAAAAACGCCGTGAAAAACAAATGTAAAATTAAGGAAAAACGGGAATTTTTAAGCAAAATCGGTTTTTGAGCCGTTACTGTGTCATTTTCAAAATATTTTGACTCGTTTTGAGTTATCTATAGACGTTATGAAATTTTCAATTTTTCATATTTTTATGTTTTATAAATTTCATATAAATTGTATTAAATACAAATTTTGTTGGATCAAAAATATTTAAAATTGAACACAATGCTTCTTATGAGTTATAAGTTACTATAGTAACAGTTGATATATGTCATTAAAGATTCATAGTAGACAGAGGCGTGTTCAGCGGGTAGGCCTGGTGGGCCCGGGCCCATCCTGGTTTTTAACCTTTAAGTGTACCCAAAATATGCATTTTAAAATTATATTTATACAAGCACACGACGTATCAATCATATTTTTTGCTGTAAACAATGCAAATATTTGTCTATAAATAAAATTAACAATAGTAAAATTTATCGGCAATTCTCTAGCGCTTCTTGGATATACCCCACATTTCTATATAGATATTACACGACCCGACGACCGTCGGTGTTTGGTCGGCGATCACCGCCTTTGTGTCGAGCGTCATAAACTATGACATTGCTATTAGAAAACGAATATTTTATTTAGTGCCGACTTTTAGTTTATTGTCGCGGTTGACGACCTAGCTCGCGAGTGACAGTCTTCGTTTTGTACTTTTCATATTATAAAATATAGTTCTTAATAAATAGTAGGTACGTCATGTTACACGTCATACTCATGACTTAAAGAGTATAATACAATTTTTCTTAAACTTAAAAATGTGTTGACTATATACACAAATTCTTTATGGAACCGGGCCTGTCCTGAAATTAGGTCTTAGACACGCCTCTGATAGTAGACACAATTTTTATTATTATTTAAAGTTCAAATGTTACATTTAACAAAATTTGCAAAATTTTTTATAGTTAAAAAATTATAAAATGTTCAATTTTTATAGCTAAGGATTGAAAATTGAATTTAAATTTCTCATAAATAGTTCCTACTGTAACCAAAAAATCTGGAATATATTAAAGACAATTATATTTTACAGACACATTAAGTTCATATTTAAAGTTAAAAACTTAAACAATCTCAATGCCCAATTATCAGCTTTATTTAAATCTGTTAATTCTTCTTAATTATTTGTATAATTAAAGAAATGAACATCTTTGTCTTGTTTTCATGCTTTAATTTTTTTCATTCTTTCTTTAATTAAATACTAAATATAAGGTACGTAGTTCTAATCTAATGTAAAAATAAAAAAGTATAATGTTGTTGACTCAACAGTCACAACTTATATTTTTGTTACTTTTAGGAGCAATGCTTTTAAGTATTCTTTATTTTAAAAGAAATTAGTATAAATAGATATATGCAGCAAAAACATAAATATTATATGTTAAAATAATATTGTCTATGATTTTTCATTTGAGAAATTGAAGTTATTACATTATTATTGCAATCAATGGTTGAAGCTATGTTGGTTTCAATGATTAGTTGCTAAAATGATAGTTGTTCTTCAGTCATCGTCGAGTATTAAGAAGTTACACTAAAATGTACACAAATTTTGTAAATATATTTTTTATGAGGAATACTAAAATATAAAATTAACCTTTTATAATTTTTTTGCTAAGTACTATAGTTTTTGAGTTAAATTAAAAAAAACTACAAACCTACCCTCCATGGCAAATTGTCAACCCTCTTGAGGCATGGGAAGAGGTTGAGTCATCATGACCAAATTTAGCCCAAAAACTTACTCATTGTAATGAACAAAATGGTGGGTACCTGACTAAAAAATGTCTTCTTCTAGAACTTAAGAACCACCCTACTACACATAAATACATAATATAGCAGTATTAGTGTTTGTTTTCTAATATTTATAATAATATATTTCATAAAAGAAACTATAATCTATAATGCACCATGCCATCATAAAGAAATTATAAAAATTTGAGTGTCCTGTGTAGTGGGTACAATTTTAAAATTATTATTATTGTACAAATAAAATTGTATTTTGTTAGAATAGAAGCCACATAATGAAAAAAACTATGGGTCAGCTGACCCCTAACACTCTCTGTGAATAATTTATAGATATAAGTCTGGTATCAACTTCAGAGTTAGGTCCTCCAGAGTTGGCAAATAATACAGCATACACCTGGCTTGAATTTAATATATTCTTAAAAATATTCTTATACTTAAATATAGATACTCAAATTACAAACAAATTATTTTATTTTATTATAAATTTATTTTTATCCCATTTATAATTTTACGTAAGGATTACAGTTTTTGTATTAGTTACGAAAAAAATTTACACAAATTGAAATTGCAGTGTTTCAACATTTTTAATCCATTCGTGTCTTGATATCACGCACAATTATCTTGTCTTTTTTACTGAAACACATTAAATGATTTGTTATATTAATTATCAAGATATGTGAATAAAAAGAAAATCATACTTTATCAAATTAAATAATTTCACTCACATAATATAAACCTTTGCACCCCAACCGGAAATAGCGTCACGATTGCACGCACTAACAAGCGCTTGCGATATTGTTTCAAATAACTGATCCTCTTCCATATCAGGCTCCCAAAGAGCTTCACAAAGACCATATAATTGACTCGAACTAGTACCTCCCACCACAAAGTTATCGGACTTATTCACACAACCAATCAAATCCATGTCGCACATATATGGTTCCAATGTCACTTCATCCAAAGCAACAATCATTGGTTCGACAAAGAATGGTGAAAATCTGTTAAGTACAAAACAAAATGATAAATAAAAATATATACAGGATAAATAAAGTAAGAATTATTTTCTATTATTGTAACTAAAAAATTTAAGCAGATTTAGTTTGTTACTTATTTTAATTATGTACTCTAAATTGTATACATTTTGGAAGAGTTGAATAGAAACAAATCTAATGGGTTTATCAAACAATAGTCTGCATGAAATTAAAATACAAAGTTATTATATACTACATATTTATAGTATGGCAATCAGTGGCGTACGCAGGATTTTTCAATGGGGGGGACTTGAAAATTAGTAATTTTTATTTTGTCCAGTCTAATGATTTCAGACGTTTATTTGAGGTATTTTAAAATGTTTGTAACTTTTCAACTTTTCTGGTAGAAAAAATGGTCTGATCATAAGCTTTGATGCCCGGTGTATGTTTTTGGAAGCAAATTGGATCTAGTTGGTACTTTTAGGAGGTCGAAATTGAAAATGCTCAGTGCTTTTTAAAATAATAAGAGAAAAAAAAATGAAAATTTATTAAAATTGTTTGGTAACCAGCTTTGTTATACCACCGAATAGATTAAATATTTATTCTATGTTTATACCGACCTCACTTGGATTGTACTCGATTAATTAACATTTTTTTTTTCTATAAATGTCAATAAAAAATTATTCATCAAAAACCTTAAAAATGTAATACGTAAGTTTTTATTATAGCTAAAATATTAACGATACATAGGCATCATGGTTTTTTTTTATAAGCATTTAAAGTTCAAATTTCGTCAAAAACCGCAGTTAATTTGTAGTTCAAAACTTACAAAATATTAAATGTTTATAGCTAAGGCTTTTTTTTTTCAAAAATGAATTCATTCTGGTAAGACTTATATAAAATATATGTCTTGCTTATTATAGTTGACAGTTGAAACTTGATAAATATTTTTTTTTAAACAATAATATAATACTGGCAATGGGGGGGGGCTTCAGCCCGTTAGCCCTCCCCTTGCGGAAGCCTCTGATGGAAATTATCGGCTTTTATGCTAGTCTATTAATATACAAATGAATATTTAAACATAAAGCATAACCACTGACTTCACATTACGTTGTATTGGTGATGGACAAAAAAGTTAAGCATAATTTTATTTGATTAAAAGTATTCATGCAAACATAGTTAAAGACATGATTATCACCCTTTTTAAGTGACTACCCACTCGCTTCAAATAAAATTTAAAAAATTGTCGTTTAAACGTGCATACGGTATAGGTTTCATAACATATTGGTGAGCTCCAAGGGTCAAATTGAATCACTGGTCTTGACAAAATCTAAACTTTAAATTAATTTGTCTTATTTAAAAATAACTTACCTGTTTTCATACAACAAATTGGAGACCAGAGAAGCTAAAGCTTTAGGAGATATTTTCCGATTCTCTTTTAACTCGTATAACCTTTTCCGGAACATAATTTTTTCGTACACGGTAAATATATCTGTAGCTAAACCAGGAAATCCCATATATGTATGAGGATTTATTTGAAAAACTTTCTATAATTCAAATTTAAAGCAGTTAATTATAGGTAAAAATACACAATAATAATAAAGAAATAAAATAAACCAACATACTGTGAAATCAAGAGATACTGTTTGGGCTTGTATACCAAATCGCTTATCAGTTGCAATGGCAACACAATCCTTGCCTTTCATGCCAATTAAGGCGCCACCATTGTAGTCCATGATACTCTATAACCAAACAATTATTCAATTTATATGATGCTCATAAAAACAACAAATAATGAATAAAATAGTATATACAAATTTGATTATTACAAACTCATGAGCTTCAATAAAACATAAAAAAATCATATACAAATGATGTAAACACTAGCTTCCTTTTTTTAAACAACCGTTGAATAAAGTTTATTATCACATAAATAATACTGACTACTTCCATATAACCGTTACCTTATATAAACCTGTTTATAAGTGTTTTTTTTAAAGAGTTAATAATCTGAGATAAATGGTCATAATTCATAACATATCAATTGAAATCAGAACTTTAGCCCGACAAAATATTTTCAATACCTAGTATTTACTACATTTTAGAATCAAATATAATCTATATTACTTTTAAACATGAATATTTTAATAACTACCTAACAGGTCTATCTAAACATACCTAACAACCTTAACAACTTAAGAAGTAATCAGGTAGTTACTATTAATGCTTATAACTTTATCATTACAACAATGAGGTTTATAATTTATAAATTATAAATTATTATACCAGCATTGAATGTTTTCAATAATTTATACATATTATTATATACTTTTTTATTGAAACACATAGGTAATATCATGGCTTCAATATATTATAATATTATCAATCCATTAGTTTATAATAATTATTAATTAATAAAAAGGTAATTCGTTAAAGACATGATCAATTAATACTTTACCATTTTGAATGAAGTAGTTTATGAAATTGCGCACTTGAAAGTCGTAAAAACGAATATCCCCTAGGATCAGTTACAACTTTTTGAACAAACAAACCTAGATGCTAAAAACTAAAAAGTGCTAATTCACTATCATTTATCAGGTTATAATATTATGTTTTTGAGTAATCTACACGCATGCGCGAGGACTTCCATGATTTGTAAACTTAATTTCTTATCAGTGATTTCCATTGTGATTTGTGCTTATATGTTCTAAGACCGTGGTTGTAGAAAGAGAACCTACCGTGGTTGTGTTATAGGTTGTGAAGTGACTATTCTGATTGGTTCATATTATCCGCACAATTTTTGAAATATTAAATATTAATATCTTAGATCATATACAATATTGTATATGATTGTATATCATATTGTATATGATCTAAGATTAATATTGTGTAATTGTATAATAATCATTAATAAATTTATTATTGTTTGTTTTACCATGGTCCATGACAAAATAGATAAGATGCCTATACATTGGCCATTGTTAATAGAAAAACCGTAACGCCGAACTCGATTTAAAGATTGAGTAGATCATATATATATATTCGAAAATAGAAATACAGAACTTTCATCCACAGATTAATATTAAGTATATTAATCCGTGCTTTCATCACACTATATCAACATTAATTGTCAATTGGATGGATAAAAATCGATGGTGTAATTGGGGGACTAATCATTAATGTCTGTCTGATTGTACTAAAGCCTAAAACACTAATTAAAACAGTGAAAAAAAAAACTAGAGTTTGACCGGGTCCTGATGCACCGATAATTTGAAGCACATATTAGCGAATACCGACAATCCAGACACGTTCAACCCCCCAACCCCCCGTAATTTTTAAAGTAGGTATATATTTTTATAATATAATATAATATAATTATGTATTTTTAGTTGATTACTTCATGCATTAAAATTTTTTTAAAACCCCCCGAAAATTGATCCTGGATACGTGCTTGCGACAATCTCTGTTAAAAGGACGAATAAACTGCTCATGCTTGAAGAAAAATGCATATTTAACATTTGAATTTTGAATTGATAATATAATAATATTTAAATATAATAATTATAAATATAAACTAATCAGTCACCACTTATCAGTTATCATTGTCCAGTACGGCAACGACAGTACGAGTGTACGACTCATAGATATAGGTATTTTATATCTGTGGTACGACTACTACGACTGTAGTACTGTACGAGTCCAGTTCACCTCACGTATTTCGTATTCGTAATTCGTATGTTAATCGTTATTCGTTACTTTTAATATTAATATATGTGTCAAATTGTTCACCTTTACTCAAATGAAATGGGCAATCATGGGGGCTCCGTGGCTCCATTCTCTGTAGGTATAATATGCTATGAGATATCTAAGAGTAAAACCACAGAATAGATTATTAATAAAATCTTTATAAATGTATTCAAGTATATCTTTAATTATGGAAAAACATTGACCTTCCATTACCTATTATTATTTTAAAGTACTTACCTTATTGCTAATGTAAAATATTTATTTAGTTTTTTAGTCATGGTCGTGGATAAATGCTGATTGACACAACTACAAGAGTTTGAAATGTACAACAATTAATATTAATGTTCTTTACGTGATTTTGTTGTTCTTGTTAACAAACGTGCAATGGCTCAACAGTTGTCTGGTGTCACGGTGGTGATATTTATAGCTGGTGGTATATTGACATTTATATTGCTGTTCATATTTGCCAAGAGGCAGATCATGAGATTTGCTCTTCGATCGAGGAGAGGCCCGCACGTGCCGATTGGGCACGATGGGAAGAAAGTAAGAATTTAAATTCCTCAAATGTTTTCATAACAGTTTTAATAGGTTTGCTAGAAATTTTAACAATGATTGTGTTCTATAAAAAAATGAATCACCATAACTCGTTTGATGTACTTTGATTCTGTTATTTTCTTTTTATTTACATTCAGATGTTTAAATTTGATGGCATAATCATAGTATAAAAAACAATATAGGTACTGTGGTATTATGATATGCATAGTACGTAGTGTACATAGATATAGCGTAGTAACAACTTTTGTCATTAAATTATAGAATCTATGTGATTTAGTTGACAATTAAATGTTTAATGTGGAGCCCATCCTACCTAATGCCCTAATAATAATAAAATATACATATTAATTTTGTATTTTAAATAACATGTAATGTTTATTTTGTGTTAGACACTGAAAAGAGAAATTGAACGACGAATAGAAGTGGTTCCAAAAATTGCTTTTGAGCCAAAATTAATGACAGTTGATCAAGACGATGACCTTTCAAAATATATATTACCACCAGCTGAATCTAACAACAAACCATTGCTGTCACACCATTATCGTATGAAAGCAGTTGATGATGTCAAAAAGTTAGGTAGTATAATAATATAAGAATAAAACTGGTTACATAGTTGATAAATAGTGTAGGTATGTAGTGTACAAATTGGTCCCTGAAATATTTGAATTGGCTCCTGTATGTACATCGGTTTGAAGTTTTTAATATTTATTTTAATTACCAATAGCAACCGTTTATAATGACACCGGTTGTAGTGAAATTTCGCGTATAATGATCTTAGATTGAAGGTCTCCTGGCAAAACTCTTATATTATTTGTACTCATTATGATTAGAAGGATGTTAAAACTGTTTTAGATTCTGAGTGGAATGATGAATGTATTGATTTTACAATGATGTGTGTTTTTTTTTATATTTTTTTTATTTTAATTTTTTTTTTTTGTGTCTGCGTACACGATAAATAGTCGAAATAATGCTTCGATTTTCAACTTCAGAGTCTTGTTCGATTGGAAAGTGAATCTAGTTCATGCATTCGAGAGGTTAAATTTTAAAATTCCCAATAGTTTTCACAAGCACCGGGATTAAACACGTGAAAATTAAGGAATTTTTACGCAAAATCTGTTTTCCAAAAAATCGATTTTGGTTTTTGGTGTAACTCTAAAACAAATGAACGTATATACATGAAATTTTCACTGCTTGTTTATATTTGCATTTTCTATACACGATAAAATGTTTAAAATATTATGATTTGTTTTGAACTGTTTAGGGACATTTTCATTTTCCATTTTTTTTTTAGTTTTTATTCTAAAAATATCAATAAAATTTTATTTGTTGGTTTTGAAAGCTTTAAAATTTAATAGAAAGCTCCTAGTATATTGTTTCAAAGGCAGATGAAAAATATTAAAAATCCTTAGTCACAATTTTTTTTTATAAGCATTTAAAGTTCAAAAATTGACCAAATATGGAAAAATCACAAAAATTAGCAAATTATTTTGAGTTAAGAATTCGTAAAAATTTTCTTTTTAAATCTAAGATTTGAAAATGTAATACAAGATTACTCATATGTTCGTCTACCTTTATCAATAAAAAAATCTCTACCGGAAAGTCAAATTAAATTTTATGAGCTTTTGAAATTCAAATTTTTACAACATTGGATATTCACTCGATTTCTCATGTAGCGATTTCCTTATTTTGTTGTAATTCAAAAACGAATAACTGTAGATACATGAAAATTCCACTGAATATTCATATTAGCATTTCCTATACACTGTACAATTTTGAAAATATTTTGACTCTTCTTGAACTGTTTACGGACATTTTCAGTTTTCAATTTTTTTAGTTTTTTTTTCTATAAATATCAATAAAGTTTTATCTGTTGGGCCAAAAAGTGTAAAAATTTAATACAAGGCTCCTGATATATTGTTACAATAGCAATTGAAAAAAATTAAAAATACATAGGCACAATTTTTTTTATAAGCATTTAAAGATCGAATTTTGACAAAACCTATCAAAATCTCGAAAATTATCAATCATTGTAATTAATAAATTATAAAATGTTTAGTTTTTATAGCTGAGGGTTGCAAATTAAAAACAAAGGTTCTCATAAATAGTTCATACTGTAACCAAAAAATCTAAAAAATATATGAACACAGTTATTTTTTACAGACATTTTAAATTCAAATTTGGACGAAATTACATATTAAAAAACCTAGAATAACTATTTTGTCGTGATTGAATAATATTATTCGTGGGTACTTGAAACTTCTAAAGTGTACTATTATATATCTATGATAGTATCACGGTTTTTGTTGATGTATAACTCGTATAAGTACCTAATGGATATTGTGATATGATTAATTTGGAATTTATTATAGGTCAATTTTTTGTTTAATACCATAGATATGTATATAATATGTCTTATACATAGACTGACATACCGTCTCCGTTCAGAATCGTTTTTAATGATATTATATCGTTGAATTCAAATTTAATATCATCCATTATACAGTGACCCACTTGTAACCTATTGTACAGCAGAGTGACACCCACTTGCCCACCTTTTTTTTTTTTTTGTTATGGAAAAATATTTTATCTATAATGATTGTATTAAACATTTATTGAAGAAAATATAACAACCAATAATACTAAAAACATATTAAAGATTTGAAATTGAAAACAAATAATTCTGCCTGATTTTTATATATACGAAGTACCTACAAACTGAGATAACAGATTTTTTTGATACAATGTAAATTTTATTTCAAAATAATAAAACAACTTTTTTAAAATCAAGATTTAGTAATGAAAATATGGCACACCAATTGTATTACAATACTATGTTCATATAGTTAATATATTATAATGAAGTTTTTAAATTGTATTTTATGATTTTAATTATAAAGACAATCGATTATTATATTAACTGATTTTGACTAGTCCTTAGAATGTTACAAACAGTTTCTTATGTATTATTATAAAATTATATAATCTCTATTAAGTTTTTATTTATTGATTAAAAATTCAGCTGATTTATTATTTATTATGAACTTAAAAACATCAGCATTTTTAATTATTTCTGTGTAAAATGAGAAAGAAATTATTTACAGGGAAAACCAACTTAATGTGTACATACTCGTATATTCGTAAATTTAGGAACCTATTCAGTTATTTGGGATAAGTTCAGAGTCAACTTAATATTATATCAATAAATATTTAAAAAAATTAAAATAAATTGTATTTTCAGAACGCGAAATCACTAAACAAGATAAAACATTGACTCGCCATCCAAACGAAAACATTCGTTCATTTTTACTAAATACATTAGCAGTACTTTTGGATGGTAGCGGACAGCATATAGTTCATCAATTCTGTGATCTCTATGAACATGCTCGTTATGATCCAAATGAATTCTTGGATGAAGAATACCAATCATTCATAAGATTAATGAAAAAACTAATTGATATGTGAGTTAAGAAGTGATAAACTTATTTTTAATACATTTTAAAGTTTATATACTATTACTTAAAAATTTAAGTATAAACAATGGCGGGCAATGACAGATAATTCAAATTTTCAAAGGGGTTTTGGGGCAGTGAGGCTGAAGTCTATGCCAAGGTCTGACCATGGCCCGACCTCCTTCAGCCATATTTTATTTACATACCTAACTGTGTTATAAGTAAATAATGTATATTATATGTTAGTTTATATTGTGACGTGGTAGTAAATACTAATATATGAAATTTTGTCATTTAAAATTTAAGTTCAATAAATGAAGGGTACTGGGAAAAAACAGAAAGTCACCTTTTTATCATTCCGAAGAAAACTTGTTTTTAATTTCTAAACTATGCCCGTATTCCCTGTGTGCCAAAACTTCCGGGGGTCATAGCTCTCGATTAATCTGCTTTTATCCCAGATTTGACCTCTTGAAAGATAGAATACCTCAATACAAATAATTTGATACCGAAATCGCCATTTTGAAAAAAAAAGTGACTTTTCTGGTTTTTCCCCTGTACCCTTCATATACAATAATTAAATAGTGAAGGTATATAGTAACAAATTTATTTATTTTAATTTTCAATTAAATGTATAACAATATTATTTTCATTTATTACAGAGCAAAATTATTGAAATCGTATTCTGGCGAAAGTCGAAAAAATAGTCCCAATAAAACTCCAACTCGTAACAACAATATGCGAACTGGTACTAATGAAAGTCTTAGGTCAAAAGACAGAGATTCAAATCGCTTAAAAGTTGTATAAAAACTGAGAAGTAAGTATTTTTTTATCATAAATTAATTGGAGTAAAATCAATTCCTATTATATGTAACTAATATTAATTAAAACTAGTTTTTATTTGGAGAATATAGATTGTATATTATATTAGTGTAAAATATGTAATATATGTTTCTTTTTTAATTTAATATTTACAGTTTTTATTTATTGAAACATAAGTAATTTAATATTATATAGTACTATACTAATATGTAAAATAAGATGCCTTAAAAGCCTTAAATTATGTACACAATTATTGTTCTGGAAGAAATAAAATTGTATACATTGTTAATCTTAATTCATTATTTATATATCTTGTTCCATTAAATATCTTCACAAGATCTCAACCTGACTGAAAGATGGATATTTTTTCTGTATATCAAAACCATTTCTAAAGTGATTATTCGAAGCTTTTAATAATTGGCTGAATGATTAATCCACCTTTATATAGTGACAACAAAAAGGTACAACTGTGTGCAAGGGTATTTATAATAATAAATAAGGTAATATAATTTTGAATTAAAGCATTACCGTGTCTGCATCTTGTTTTATGAAAATCCAAATTTTAACTTAAATATATTATTGCAATATTAATATTTCACTATTAATATCTAGTACTATAGTCAAATTTTTATATTCTAATTCTTTTTTTCGCAATCATATAAATTAAATAAGATTGAGAATTTATATTTTTTTATTTAAGAGAACGCTACCCATACATTTGTTGTCTCCATCTTACACACGCACAACATAGCAAATTGTCGTTCACTAGTTTCAATAGTATGCTGTTAGTTTTGATACTAGAGTGAATTGACCTATTATTACATGTTTGGATAATAACATTGTCTGTGCTTTTATTCAATATTTTAATTTTCAAGCTAGATATGAGCATTTTCAATTTTTGATATTTCACATACACATATCTTACTTTAAAATGAAAATATTGAAAAATCACCAACTCTTAAGCACAGATAATATTCTTACCTAAAAGTATGATAATAGGTCAATTCACTCTAATATTAAAACTAACAACACACTATTTAAATTAGCGAATGGAAATTTGCTATGTCGTGCTTGTGTATGACGGAGACAACAAATGCATTGGTAGCTTCCTCTTAACATACCTTTGATCTGTTCTTTTAAAGAAAACTAAAATGTATAATTCTTTATTTTATACATATTGATATTTGATATACTAAACTATATACTTATGTATGATAATTTAATATGTGTCATAAATAAATTGTTATGAAACTATTTTTTATTTTAATTAAATGATTTTCTTTGGTTAAATTAAGAAATTAATATTTAAACTACAAATTATTGAAGTCTTTTTAATGTCTACGTATATTAAAGCTGTAATTTATTATCTTGATTTATCTGTTGTGCTATAACTTATTAATTATTAATATTATCAATATAATAAACCAATTTAGCATCAAATGTACATATATTATATCACATACTGCAAATATGCTTTAAGTTGGTTAGAATTTAGACAGTGTTGCTGAGTAAGTTGGTGATTTTTATGAAATTTAATTATTAAATTATTATTTAAAATGCTAAATGCTGTGATAATTTAATATATTTCCAGACAAATATGCTTACATTTTTACAGTTTTTTAACTTTATAGTCATTACGACCTCTTGGCTTTTATGACCACATTTTTTTACATAATAACTTTGAAATATGTTATAATGGGGAGTGGTGGTACTTGAAAAATGAATACAAGGTGTCAAGGTTCCTCATAAGTCATAAGTAATTTGTTCTGAAACCAAAAAATCTAAAAACTTTAATAATATAGGAGAGCACAATTTTTTTTTTTTTTTTGACACTTGAAGTTTTATTATTACATAGAAGATTAGTAGGTAAGTGTAATTTTTTGTATGTAATATTTTAATTAATTCAGATGTAAGATATACCGAAGGTATTTGTTAGTTTACAATATCTTTCGTACCAAATGATCCATTTAACATTTTCACATATTGGACTATGTAATGTTAAACATACAACTCATTTAATCCAAAATCGTTAACATTTTATAAAATTATTATTGTAAAGATATATTCGGACAGACGGTTAATCTAACAAGTAACAAGTAAACTTAACCTTGTTAGTTCAAATAACACAAGTACCCATGGTCACCAAACTTGAGGTCCTCCCGCAGCATTAAAGCAGTGTTCCACAAATTTGTATAAACCTAAAAACGTAAACTTTGGAAGGCTATAACTTAAAAAATAAAGGTTTTCTAAAAAAATTCAAACCGTTTTCAATATCAGCGGAAAAAAACAAGTCTTTTCAAAAAATTTGAAATTCGTGAGGGGCCGTGGTAAACATGTTTTAGGACTTACGTAGTTAGTTAAACGTGCAAATTTTTTATTTTTTTCCTCAACTATTAAGATATTGGGTAGGTATTTTTATTTTTTACTGCTTGGAGCCTCTAACTAAGATTTATCCATTGGCGGAAATCGGGTGTTTTTTCTGAACGACAATAAATAAATTACAAAAATATATACTATTAATTTAGGTATGGGTTATAGGTATAATACTGTTATAAAATATAATATTAAACTATTAATAGTATTACTATTTAGTATTTACTATTATAATTTATAGCATTATGTTGATTCCACAGAATACAGATATTCATTCTTCTTCTTTTTTTTCAAGTATCAAGAAAAGCGAAATCCCACCGCGAAGTTAATACCACATCTTACTATCTTAGTTGTAGCCTGTAGGTACACCTACGTGGTCCGAACTCCGAGATGAATGCCGGCATTAAAAATTAACCACTCCGAAGTCCGAGGTAATTTTAAGTATAAACACATTCTCCTTGAAACACGCCACAGACGTTATCACTTATCATTTAATATATCAGATAATAGTATCTATTGACTGCTTAATTTTTTTAACCATCTCGACTTTCGAGTCGAAACTTTTGGAAAGTCTCGGCTAACGTCCTGTTGTTCATGTACAAAACAAATTAGAATTTATTGTGATGGACAAACCGCCGACCGAAGAGAAGACTAGGGAAGAGGTAGAGGCCGAACGAAAAGCCAAGCGAGCGGCGAAACAGGAACGGAAAAAAGCAGCGTTGGAAAAACAGAAACCCGAGGGACTAGAAATTCAAAAAAAGTCTAAAGATCCGTCCACGGAATCACCTATAGCCGTTGATCTCGTGAAAGTGGCAAAGCCAAAACCAGTGAGTAAAAATCACAGAAAAAATGTGAATCATACTTGATGACTAAATATGTCCTAAGTTTTCAATTCAAACAATTAAATTACTTATATTTCATAACATGATCTACTTACATACAGATCAATGTAGGAAGATTAATTATAAAATAAACGATATTTGGGGCCGGGTGGAAGTAATGCGAAAGTAATTTCCCTGTGGTCATGCGGTTCAAATGGAAACAAAAAATGTAGGTTAATACATAAGTATTATTTAAGATATAGTTCAGAAAGTATATGCTATTTTAGACTGAACAATTTGTTGAAATTAATTAAAGAGATCACATCATGGGAAAGAGTTCTATAATGACCCTATATGTCTACATTAATATTTATTATTAACTAATTTTATTCACTAAGTTTTAAGCTCGGTTTTAAGACTTACCGATTATAATAAATGTGTAACAAACAAAATGTGATCTAAAGAGATTCATAATAAATTACACCAATAAGAAAATTCACTATATATATACTGACAATTATTTAACATGTTCTACCTTTTTACTTAAGAGAACGCCACACCTGCATAATATGTTGTCTCCGTCTTAAAAGTGCATAACGTACCAAATGTTTGCTCAGCAGATCACGTTTAGGCCGTTTAGCCCCTTTAATTTCAAAATTTTAGTGAATTGACCTATTATAAATCTTTATGGCCAAAACATTATCTGTGTTTGTATGTCCGTTTTTCACGATTATCCAGCTTTTATGTGAGTTATGAGCATTATTAATTTACACTATATTACACATGCATAACTTGCTAAAAAATTATCTTAAAAAACCAACATACGAACATAGATAATGTTATTACCATCAAATTTCATAATAGCCAATAGGTCGATTCACTCTAATTTTTAAACTAATAGAGCTAAACGTGATCCGCTGAGCTTAAACTTGCTATGTTGTGTACTTGTAAGACAACACATACGGATGTGGCATTCCTACAATACAATATTTATACCTATACTCATATATAAATAACTTATAAACTATAACATGGTAAATTAACTTTATATATTATTAGGTACCAAACAACCATAATATTATATTCATATTAGAAGACAATTAAAATAAAATGTGTGTTAGCTTATTAAATTAATTTAAAAAAATGATAAAAATATTATAGGTAATTAATAATTTTGCTAACCCTATCCATTTGATTATATTTTATAAAATTATGAAATCAATGTTAGTCTTAAATCTAAATAGTATTTAGTGGAAATACTTTAAAATGATTTTTCAACACTTACCCATAATTTTTTTTACAATTAGTTAAACCTTCTCTTGATATTAAATAAAATATTTTTGTATTTTAAGATTTGTTTTCTAATATATTTAGTATTTCACATCAAATTCAGATATTCAAAATGCTCATACCTATATCTATTTCAGGATGTTCCCAAGGCAGCACCCAAGAAACCCCCAACTCAAAAAATTGAAACAACTAAAAAAGTTATTAAAAGTAATAAAAACAAAGAAAATATCATTGTTAAAAAGGTAAGTCTATAAATGTTGTACTTTTGACTAATATCTGATTTATAGTTAAAATAATTTTTGATTTATTCTTCCCCAGGCTGAAGAAGTAAAACCTGCAGCAAAAAAGGTGAATTTAGTAAATTTAGTGAAGAATTCTGTCCGGCCAGTGACACACAGAGTTAAACTTTTCAATCATCTTTATATTGACTCGATATCTTTGGTGACAGAAAATAAATTAAAGTAAACTTAGAATAATAAATATTTATTTAACAGTTTGCCTAATATTTATATTTATCTAGAATAAATTCTGGGAAAGTACATCCATCTTTTATAAAACTCGGAGTACAAATGCAAACTTCTGTTGTAGCAGGATCAAATGCTAGATGTCTTGCCTTCTTATATGCACTCAAACAAGTATGTAATATCATTAAATATGAATACTATAGATTGCTCACTGCGGTGCATAATACACTATGCTAAATTTACTAGCGATCCTGGTGTTATTATCCAGAACTGGCAGGCGGCCAAGTTATAAGATATGCCGGACAATTAATTATGGATAATAACACCAGGATCGCTAGTAAATTTTACGTAGCATAATTTTTACTGCAGTGAGCAATCTATAGAATTCATAATCAATGGTTTAAATGTATATATTTGAATATTTTTCATTTCTTAAGTTTTTTTATAGACCATTTTAGATTTTGTGACTCCAGAACACAAACATTTTTCTCGGTCTTTTGAAGAACACCTTGGACCGGCTATTGACCACTTGATGGCATGTAGACCGTTTTCAGTATCCATGAATAATGCACACAAAAATATCATGTCTCATGTAAAGAAATTGCCACACAATATTTCTGATTTTCATGTACGGAATCTAATTCTATAATATAGTACTTCTAAATAGTAGGTTATTGCAACTATAAATAAAATGTTTCATTGTCTTTTTATAGGCTAAAGAAGCATTAGAAACTGTAATAAATAATTATATTTATGTTCAAATACATATGGCTGGTATGGCGATTTGTATTGCGGCCCAAAATAAGATTGGAAAAGGAGATGTTATACTTACTTACGGATAGTAAGTACATAATATAAAATTATAAAATTACTTATACTTATATAATAACATGATCAATTTAACTATCAAAAGCTAGATTTTTAAAATAAATCTGAAGCTAGTTGCTGCAAATGTTGAATACAAGAGCAATGATATTGATTATTTTTTTTTTAGTTCTTCTTTAATTGAACGGATACTAACAGACGCCCACTCTAAAAACAAACAATTCAGTGTGATCGTGGTTGATTCGGCACCATGGTACGAAGGTCGTCAACTTCTCCATCGTCTTGTGCGTAACAACATCCAGTGCACTTATGTACTCCTCTCTGCTACCAGTTTTATCATGACTAGAGCAACGAAAGTGCTGCTTGGCGCACATGCGTTGTTGGCCAACGGTTATGTTATGGGTCGAGCGGGCAGTTCTCAGATAGCTTTAGTAGCTAAACATTTCAATGTGCCTGTATTGGTGTGTTGTGAAACATACAAATTTACAGAACGTGTGCAAACCGACTCAATAGTTTTCAACGAACTAGGTGTGTTCTTTAGACGTTGACTAAAATACTACATTAAACTCAATAATTGATTCTAATCATAGTCATCAATATTTAAGGTAATGAAAACGACGTCATGCCCAGAGAACAATGGTTGAAAAATCGTTATTTAACTCCATTAGGTCTTAGGTACGATGTGACTACTTCTGACCTGATAACAGCCGTGGTGACAGAAATTGCTATATTACCATGTACCAGTGTTCCAGTTGTATTGAGGGTGCGTACGAACTAATGCAGGATGAGTAACAATTAACATAAGTCTGATGTCCATCATGAACAGCAGCAAAAATAAATAAAAATGTATTTTTTTTTCAATTTTATATTGATTTTTAATAAGATAATATAATTTGTTTTCTGTTGTACAATGTTCCGAGTGTAAACGTTTTTTTTTGACATCTTGAGTGTCAGTCAAAAGTTTACAGCCGCCTGCCCATACACTATTTAACATAAAATATGTAAAAAGCTAAATTGTGTTGTTAATTAACAGTAAACAAACGCCGGGTAACAATGTTTGTGATGGAACAATCTAATAATAATAATTCAATGTATATGAGTCACATAATAGTATATAATAATTAAAAAAAAGGGTAATTTTTACAAAAGTAAGAAATATTAGATTCGATTCTTAAACTAAAAAATATTGTATAATACAAGTAATTAAAACATAATTTAAATATTTGTTCATAATGTAGGCATATTTAATTTGTTGTCTTATTTACTACACGCAGGCGCATCGGCAGCGATATTATAAAAAAAAAAAAAAATATTATAATCATAACGCGCCACCAAGGTGCCAAAAATATGCTCTAGGCTTACTTTATATTTTTATAGATTTTAGTACACTGTACGCAGACTTTAAAAAGACTCGACTTTATCAAAAACTGATTTATACACACATCCTTTGAAATCATAATCAATAAATCAACTTTGAGGAACTAAGATAACCCAGTACTCTATGTACTTTTTAATCCTTTCGTACGAAAAATATTTATTTTACAGAACAAAATTCACATTCTTAATTACGATGTTAAAAAAAAAAAAAAAAACCAGACAAACAGTACTAATTTAAAATTATGATATGAAAAACAACGAAAATATATTTATAATAATTTTAGGTTAAGTTTTTTTTTTTACTTTATACACATACACCAGACATGATTTATACAGTAGTTTAACATTAACTTAATGAAATAATATAAACACATTTCAACAGTTTCTGGTTAATAAATTACGTTGTCACCCTAAGATATCATACATTTAGATTAGAGAAAAAAAATCTTATACGAATATACATTATATTATTTTAGAGTTAGTTAAATCTTTAACAACGATTTGCTGCAAATGTACAAATATCGGCAAACTCTTTCACGCCCTATTCCTCTGGCAATTAATTCACAAACGATATAATAATTTATGAAAGAGTAAAACAACAATTCTAGTCTGCAACTCTAGGTCTATAATATATATTATATAATAATAATATATTTGTTATTTGTATAAATATAATGATTTATACATAATATATAAAAAAAAATCGCACACAAGCCTATTTGTCGTATAATGTATACATTTAGACAGTAAAATAATAGTAAATATTGCATAAAATTTACAAAGCCCTTTAATGAAACGGTTTTAACCATTTTGTGCATGCTTAAACGCACTCGTATTTTTTTCTTAATAATAACTACACAATGTTTACATTATTATTATACACAATTCCTACATTCTTGACGTATAATTATTACCAATAACTTTATTTGAATCCTACTAACATTTAAAAAATAATAATTATCTTTAAAAGTATTAATTTTATCAGGAACCTAGTAAACATTTATACTTAAAATAATATTATAAATTATTCCCTTATTTTTTTTTAAAAATTTTATATTGTGTTCTTTACTAATTCTTACGTGAAATTACTAGGACAATTTAACTTTCAACATATAAAAATATACCTAATCTGTGTTGACTGATGAGTTTGTTCATAGTAAATAGTAATTATAATTAATAATTATTGATCTAGGCCTCTAATCCTGTGCGACATGAGTATACTTTCTCAAAATTAATCGAACAAAATAAATATAAAAATATATTTAAAAAAGAAAACTTAACTGTAATTGATTACAATTAAGTATGGGTCAATTAGTTTTTTTGTAGTAAAACTTTTTAAATGTTTTCTTATTATTATGTATAGTTATGGCATAATTTTGTACATAAAATACCATTTATGAGGCAACGGCAAGAACAGATAGGAATATAGTGATTTTGTAATAAACCGACCCGGTATTATAAAGTCAAATTAAATTTCACAACTAAAAAACTGGGATTACAAGAAAAATGAAATAATAATATAATTTATATATAAATTGACAGTATTCATCCTTTTCATAAATCAATGCCTACATTATTTTAAGACTAGGCACAAACATTTTATAAAAATGACATCATCACTTTGGTTCAAGTGTTGTTTATATTGCATACAATATTACATTTTAAATAAAATTTATTTTTAGTTAATTTATTTAGAATCTAAGTATATAATATTTAAACTGAATAACTACTAGATATTTTAAATACGAGCAAGTAAATATGCCATGTCTAAAACATAATTGTCAAACCATAATAAAATAAGCAAATACCATACAATATATCTACAAATATTTTAATGATACAAAATTTAACTTTAGATTTCATAAAATTAATTTGTTGTGTCAAATTTCATGAAACAATGATGATGTCACTAATATCTATCTATGTTTGATAAAGATGTTTTACAGTAAACCTAATTTATATAACCTAATAAAACAAGACTATTAACACTTTTTAACTCTTTAGAAGTACCTACTTATTAAACATAGAAGAAATAGGTTTAGGCTCGTGTGTTTTGTGGTGGACCCAACATCATGGGTGTTAGGTGGGTTAACGGTGGTGGACCATCTGCATTATGCGGTGGGGGCCCCAAGAAGCGAGGGCCGTTCTTGGTGGTTGGCAATATGCTGATTTCACGAGGATCAAATCTATAAAATGTTTTAAATTATCATGCAATATAAAATTTAATAATATACATAAGAATATAGCCTCATCTCCTCATTTTTTAAAACCGCTCAATCTAAACTAAAACAGATATAAAAAAATTCAATGCACCATAATATTATTTTTTATTATTTGGTTATATTATAATATTATAATTTTATAATTAACTAACATAAAATGCAGTTGCATTTCAAAGATTTTAATGCACAATAGATAGCTATTTAAATTTAAAACCATCTCAATGTGATGTTGACAATAATGAGCCTAAATAATTTATTTATATTGTACTTCAATAACTTAATGAAACTTTTTTAAAAATCATCAACTTTTTAATCTTAAATCTGGAAATTATAAACCATCGATGGCATCTTTTTACTCACTTTTATCAAGAATGTAAAAGTTCAACAAAAAAAACCACTTCTGTATTATTTAAATTGAATTTTTTTACTTCTAGTAGAATAAAATTAAAACTGTAAGCTTACAATTTTATGTAGATTATCACATTGTATATTATAAATTATATTGTACTTTATTATTATTATAAAAAACTTTTATCAAATTAATTTTCTTATTTAGGTAAGCCTATAAAATAACTGAGTAGCTTTTCTTAATTTTTTTTGTAATAACTTTGCGTATACTCTACTAAGAGAATATACCAGGCGGCAACTGTTTTCCGTCCGACAGTGACATTTCCCACGTAATGGCATTGGTATTGAAGAGTGGAAGGGGAAAAAATTGAGAGGAACTGGTATATTCTCTTTTGGAATTTATAAACTTATAAATCAAAAACTAATACCTTATGCTAGAATAGTTGGTGTCTGATTGCATGTAGGAACTGTGTACTGGCTCGTGGTCAGTAGCTGCTGCTGCTGCAGCAACATTGAATCGGTGGACTTTATTGATGTGTCTGACTAAAAAGCATCCTTTTACAAAGGCTTTACCACAAAATTGACAACAATGTGCTGGTCCCAAGTCATGAGATCTAAGGTGCGTTACAAATTGGATCTTAGAGTTAAATGATAGCTGACATTGTTCACATACAAACGGTTTTTCTGTCATATGACTCCATCTAGTTAGATAACATAAAAATTATACATTTTTATATATTAAGAATAAAATAATAATAGAAAACCATACTTATGAGAAATGACATAGCTTTTAACTGCAAATGTTTTCTTGCAGATGTCACACGAATAAGGACGCTCGCCAGTGTGCACTCTTTTATGAATGTTTAGGCTACTCTTTTGAGAAAACTTCTTTAGGCACAAATTACATTGATAAGGCCGTTCACCGGTATGGGTTCTCATATGAACCTAAAAAAAATAATAGTTAGTAAGATAACTATACGGAGTTAAGATAAGTAAATACTTATATATATTTATTATTTACTATCAACCCACCAATAAATAATACTTACTAGTTACTACCTAATTATTATTATAGTAATATGCACTTAAAAACACTAACACGAGCATTAACATTTTATTTTGATATGTACTAAAATGTATCATCAATTATATTAGTTATACTAGGATTTAATGCATTTTAAGTAAAATTCTAAAATTAAATAACAATATAATCTTACAACACATCGGTAGGCTCATAATACAATATAGTACCTACAATAAATTAATATAAAATATAGTGACATTTAAGTGTGCAATCATAGTCAGTTTTTACATTACTGTGATTAAAAAGTTGCTGGTAAAATAAAATTACCAAAAAAAAAAAAAATCATGTTAAATTGCACACTTTCTACCCAAAATACTTAAGTGGCTCAAAACATTATAATGGCTTAGACTTTAAACTTGTTATACATTATACTTCCACATACAACAGTACACTCCACATATTATGTATAATATAAAAATTTAAAAATTAAATTAACTTTTTTCATAGGTATAATATACTTCTAGTAATTTTTTTTAATATTTACTTTTTAAAAATGTTATTATATCATGACAATCCAAAAAAATTGTTTCAAAATATTAACTAATTGAGATTAAAAGGTTAATTCTATAAAACAGTTGTGAGGTCATCTATCTTCTATGGATTGAAATGTTGGGCAACGGGTGACTGTAGCAGAGATGAGCATGTTTAGGTGGATGAGTGGAGTGACTAGTGAAGATAGAATAAGAAATTAATTCAATAGGAATAATGTAAGAATGGCACTAATTTAGACAAAATGGGGAAGAATAGGTTGTGCTGGCTCGGTCATGTTATGAGAAGAGGTAACACGGAGGCAGTGAGAGTAGCTATACAACTTAATGTAGAAACTAGAAGTAAAGAGGGAAAGGCATACCAAGAAAGAAATGGATAGACAGAATGATACTTTAGCTGGTGTAAATAAAGAAGAGGTAGGGGATAGAGTCCAACAAAGGTATAAGACAAGAGTGGCCGACCCCATTTAGTTGGGAGAAAAGGGAGAAGGAAAAGGAGAACAAGAAGAATATTAACTAATTCTTTTTTTGAAAATAGGTGATCAAATGCACTTACTTCTAAATATGGTTTACGGCAAAAACAGGCTTCACATTGTGTACAACGGTAAGGTTTGTTGTTTGAATGTGACTTTAGATGTACATAATATGATGAAGTTGACGCTAGAACACGTCCACATATGCGACAAGCTTGAGGTTTAGATCGAGATACCGATGTGGACGTGGGTACAGGAGTACTGGAACTGTGTTGCTCATCGCCATTGACTACAATGGACAAGGGTGGACTGCCGCAACTGCTGTTTTGGTCGCTGATCACATTGTCAGCAACTAAGCAAGGCCTTATCTAAAATCAGAAAAAGACGCAGGACCGTTAAGATCATTCTACATTGACATTCTACACGAGATTATGTAGGTTCTACGTCCTCTCGGTGATACTTGCACCCACCTCGGAATCGACTTTAATGTTCTGCTTGTGCAGTCCGAGCTGTTGCATGTACTTGACAGCGGCATCGTGTTTACCCAGGTACTGTGGCTGTTGCTGCTGCAGTTCGTATTCGGTGGCCGAGAAGTGCTGTTGCGTTTGCTGCATAATATCGAGTGTAGTGTGCGCGTCGTTTGACTAGCTCATGGACATGGTTGATCAACGTCCTAAAATGGCGAGCAAAAAAAAACGAAAATCGATGATCGCACGAATCATTCGTATATTGTAGGTCTCCTTAGGTATTTTTATTTTTAATTATAATATTGGAATTATTAGTTATACAATAAATGAGAACGCCAATAAAAATAGATCGAACGGTGCGCCCGGGATCTATCACCTATGTGAAAACGCCGTATCAGCGATACGGTCGCGGCGTTCGAAAGTCGACGGCCGTCGATCCACCGCCATCGACATCATCGACGACGACGACGACAACGACAACGACAACGACAACGGCGACAACGACAATGACAAGCGATAAAAACAATACGAAAACGTGCGGCACTCACCTGCTATGGTTGTCGTGTACTGTTTGTATACGTTAACGGCACAGAGTCGTTTCGGTGGAAGCCCGTTTGTTAGATTGCAGGAGTTAATCGACAACGCGTATTCTCTAAACGATTGTTATTATTATTATTATAAATTATAATAATGTTAATGTTTAATAGTATTTAATTTTAATATCGTATATTATAGTAATTATTTGTAACGACCAACAACAATAATAATAATAATAATAATAATAATAAGAGTAATAATAATAGTAATAGTAATAATAATAATAATAATAATATTAAATCAAAATAACACGCGTAACAGACTTAATCGCGGTCTGCCGTCATAAAAAAATATTTATACCGTGATATACACGCATATACATATCATACATATGTAATAATAATATAATATAATATGTATATACACGCACGCATATGTGTATATATATCGCACTCGGAACGTTAACGTGATACGGGGTGTACAGGTATAAACATTATCGTAATAATATATGTTATAAACGTGAATATATGTGTGCGGTGTGTACGTATAGGTAACTGAAGAAGAAAGGAATGCGGCGGCGGCGGCGGTGGCGGTGGCGGCGGCGGTATGGTACCTATGTAGTTTCCGATGGTTTCCGAACGGGGAAAACGAGAAGAAAAAAACGTATATAATGTATAAATGTAGAAAGAGAAAGAGGGAGAGAGAAAAAAGAAGCCAATCGGCGGCGCTGCCGGAGGTGCGGGCTCGGGTCCTCGCCGATAGCGTCTCCGAACAGCGTCCGTCGAATGGCGGGGCGGAGGGGGGACGTCGTTGTATTTACGAGACGTTTCACCGACCGCCGTCGCCGTCTTTCCGACGATGTTCGACTAGCGGCCGATGGCGGGTCACGAATCACAATAGTAACAATATTATTTATAATTATTTTATTATTACAAATAATTATATTGTACAATTAATTTAACGCGTCGTCGTTTATCTCACAATAATATTATTATTATTGTTATAAATAAATAACAAAAATGGTTATAAATTATAATGTGACCAGTACCAGAACACAATTTCATAGTATATTTTTGTCGATTTCATTGGCGCGATCCGGGGGGGCCGATGAGTATAATACGGATGGGAAGTACGTGACTCGAGCGACCGTTTTATAATTCCTACGCCTAAAATATTGTCGAATGAGACATGAAATATTTTATGTACGATTTTCCCATAATTCAATCGCCATCATGGGCTCTGTGACTCGTCTCCGTCCGTGCCACGATCGTCAAAATGTTACGATTTTAACACGACCAGGCAACGTTTGTGGCCGAGCTGGCTTGGCTTCGTTTTATAACAATTGTATTTCAGTACGTGTTACACTTATTTTTGTGTTCGAACATGAAACAATACAAAAAAATCCTAGTGGAAATTAAAAACGTTTGTACGCTCTCACGGAGACGCTCAATGCCCGTTCCCGTTGTCAATCGTCATGGAAGAAACAATTACCATGGAACAAGTTTATTGTTTTTAAGGTTATGACGACGATAATGGAGCGATATTTAAATTTTTCATTTGAAAATCTTACGAAGTGTTAAACCTACGATCTACCGAACTATATTCCTCGATGGAAAACGATTTAGTTTTAAAATTACAAATTAATACAACCCACCATAATAATATATTAATATCAGAACAAAAATATAAAATTATAGATCATAATGTATTATGTTATAAATAATTGTTTATATTAAGATTAATGCGAAGGTGTATACAATATTAAGGTGTATAAATTGAGGGGGTTGTGTGGGGGGAAAATCCCTCCACTGATCACTTTACTCGACATAAATCTAGCAGCCCCATAAATTTAACCCAAATTGCGCCTATGCATACAGTAGGTAATATCTTTTGTCTAATATTAACTTGTATTATTTTTATTTTTTAAATTAATTATTTAGATATAAATATTTTTTATATGATTTAAAGAGGGATACTAGTGGGTAGGGGGCTCAATACCGTTTGTACACCAATCACTTGTGGGACGCGCTCTTTTTTTAAAAGTAAACGGAGTCTCCCTACTTTAATTTTATAGATTATTAGGAACAATTTTAGTTTAGCTACCCAGTTTTTTTTAATTTTTTTTTTGCAAAATGTGTGTTTTTGTATGCTTTCTTTATGGTGGTTTAAAAAAAAGATATTCCAATATCTAATGGAAGTCATGTTCAAAATACTCGATTTTTTCAAAAATCAGGTTTTCAGTTAAAATTACCAAAAAATTTTTTTTTTGGATTTTTTTTTTTTGTTTTGTTAGTATGTGTATGCTTAATGTTTTGGTAAAATCAAAATTTATTTATCGATTATCAGTGTTATCACATTTGGTGATAAATTCAAGTATTTACGGTTATTAAAATGTTTGAGTTACAAAAATATTAGAAAGTAAAAAACTAGATCTAAAACTATAGTTTTACTTAAAAAATCCTGTTTTTTGATAATAATTGTTTAGTTTTACCCCATTATTTTAGATTCTGAGTGGATGAGCAATTACAATGATGTGTGTTTTTTATTTATTTTTTTTTTATGTCTGCCATCCTCATCACCTTTTAGGACTATATAAAAATAAAAAATTCAGAGATTCTTCAATAGTATCTTTTCTGTTAGGAAAGTGAATAAAGTTAGTACTTGTGGAGGAGGGGGGAGGGGATTAAAAGTAAAATTTTCTAGTAGTTTTCGAAAGCGCAGGAGAAACAAAAGAAAATTTAGGGAAAAAAAGGAATTTTTACGCAATATTGATTTTCGACAAAAGTTTTGGTTTTTGGTGTAACTATAAAACAAAAAAAATTACCGTAGATACATGAAATATTCATTGTTTGTTTGTATTAGCATTTTCTATACATGATTCAAAATATTTTGACTTGTATTGAACTGTTTACAAACACACACCTAAATTCAGTTTCCATTTAGTAAGAAATTTATAAAAATTTTCCTTTTTAAGATTTAAAATGTTATATAAGAAACCTCATACATTTGTCTAACTTCATCAAAAAAGAAAAATGTTAACAAGAAAGTCAAATTAAATTTCTATGATCGTTTGATGTTCCTTTTTCAACATTGGATATTCACTCGATTTCTCACGTAGTGGTTTTCTTATTTTGTTGTAATTCAAAAACCAATAAATGTAGATACATGAAAATTTAACTGAATGTTTATATTTTCATTTTCTAAACACCATAAATGTTGAAAATATTTTACTCGTTTTGAGCTGTTTACGGACAAACTCAAATTCAAATTGTTTTTGTTTGGCCAATTACTTTTCAATCCTTAGCTATAAAAGTTGAACATTTTATACATTTTTAACTACAAAATCATTTTTAAATATTAAATTTGATAAATGTTTTCAAAAATCAAAATGCTTATAAAAAAAAATTGTGCCTGTATATTTTTAATATTTTTCAACAGCTATTAATCAATAAATCAAGATGCTTTTATTAAATTTAGACTCTTTTTGGTAAATTAGAAATAAAATTTTATTGATAGGTATTTATAAAAAAAAAAATTTTAATTTTGAAATAGGTAGTCCGTAATAATAGCTCAAAACCAGTCAAAATTTTAACAAGTATAGGAATCGATAAAATAAACATATGATATACATTTCAAGTGTCTATGGTTATTTGTTTTTGAATTACAACAAAATAAGAAAATCGCTACATGAAAAATCGAGTCCAAAATATCCAAATGTAGTATAAATTTGGGCTGAGACACGATTGAGCATAAAACACATTTTTTGCGACATGATTGTCACCATTTGTCATCATTGATGAGCCAAATTGTTGGCATATCATTATATCAAAGGAAATCGGTATACAAAAGTCTAAGAAAACCAACACGATTGAGCATAAAAAACTCTGCAACTTTGCTATTTTCCATTTTAAGCTATATTATACAAAAATATTTATTTAAATAATTATAATAATTCAAAATATAACTTATCAAAAAATAACATGATTCCATGGTCAATAAAATAGTCACATTTCATAAATCCAGTGGCGCACACTGGAGGGTTCAAGGGTAGCAGTTTTTTTGGTAGGTGGGTGGGTGGACCCCCTGGCCCCGAAATATTTATATCATGCAAATTCTACTACGAATAAAAATATTGAAAATAAACTATTGAATAATTATAGGCTATAGCCATTAGTCTATTAGCCAATATAGAGGTCACCGAATCAATTTGCTACCCCTATATTTGAGTGTGTGCCACTGCATAAATCTGTTTGATAATAATAATAATAATAATAGTTATGAAAATAATAAAATCAAAATATGATACGAATTAAAAAAATTACTGTATGGTTTGTAAGTCAAAAATACTATATAGTGTATGGTGATCTAACACTGATATTATTAATTCTATAATAACTTTGGAATTGTATCTTAATTTATCTTATATTTTCCCCCAATTTTAAATGTTTAAAACGTCGGAAATGTATTGCTCCGGAACTAATTTATTAATCGATAACATTGTCGATAAAACTGGGCTCAGCTCACGGTTCGCGTCTGGTATCATATTATTCATAACAATTGGTGTAATAATACATAAAAATAATAAATTACAAAATTTCGGCCACGTGAAT